ATACATATATACACACACACACACACACACACACATATATATATATATATATATTTGCTTTCGTAGATTTTCACGGGTACAGGAATGCAGGTTTTGGTGTCCTCGGGTGTCTTCCCGTGTAAAAGTTGGGGTGTCTAGGCGACGTTTCGACGAGGTCTCACTCGTCATCTTCAGGCTGGTGCTTTCGGCTTCTTGTTACTGGAACAGAGCAGGATCTCAGTGTTTGAGTTCCTATAAATACTGTTGAGGGGGTGTGGTGTATAGCCTCCAATGTTCTGGGCAGAGAGGAAGTTCCCAGGTTAGTGTGCCTTTTCTTCTTTTGTTCCTTAATTACTTGAGGGATATCTTGAGTGATTTCTTGAGTGATATCCTGAGTACCACTTAGGTGGGTCATTAGGTGTGGATTAGTTGCTAAAGCCTTCGTGTCTTGACCTCTTGAACTTTGTGAAGAGTTTTTCTGAGAAGATGGCTGTACTGCAATTAGCCAAGCCAGAGCACAACTAATTGCAGTACAGCCATCTTCTCAGAAAAACTCTTCACAAAGTTCAAGAGGTCAAGACACGAAGGCTTTAGCAACTAATCCACACCTAATGACCCACCTAAGTGGTACTCAGGATATCACTCAAGAAATCACTCAAGATATCCCTCAAGTAATTAAGGAACAAAAGAAGAAAAGGCACACTAACCTGGGAACTTCCTCTCTGCCCAGAACATTGGAGGCTATACACCACACCCCCTCAACAGTATTTATAGGAACTCAAACACTGAGATCCTGCTCTGTTCCAGTAACAAGAAGCCGAAAGCACCAGCCTGAAGATGACGAGTGAGACCTCGTCGAAACGTCGCCTAGACACCCCAACTTTTACACGGGAAGACACCCGAGGACACCAAAACCTGCATATATATATATATATATATATATATATATATATATATTTCTCCATCCTCAATCCAAAACTGGATCTGGTTGAGACTATATGGCTGAAGTTTGAATCCTATGCCCATCAGGTGGAACAAGTCCCACTGAACTCATTTGGACTTATTTTCGAGGAGGCATAAACAGGATCTGCCAAAACATGACATGTTTAATGTGAGCAGAGAGAGTGACATGAAAACTGCAACTGCAAGCTGTTTGCTAGCAATCTGTAACGTGAGATAAATTTAACTTGCAGCCACAGCCTCCATTCACACAAGGAAGGCTTCCCTGTAATTTGCTCATTAACAGGCCAGCTAAAAACTCAGCTTGTTTTCCTTTTTCTACATTTGCTCGGCTTCTGTGTTCATAATGAGGCAAGGCTGTGGCAGCACTTTAGTAACAAAAGGCTGCGATTTGCTTCCCTGCAAAGATCAGTTAAATGCTCCTAGTGTTTTCATGATTAAACAAATGAATGTCACAAAGTGTCTTTTTCAGAACTCAGATAAAGGGGTATATTGGGAGGCAGGAAGGAGGGTGAGGAAAGGAGAAGGCTGCAGGAAGGGTGAACACCAATAAACGCCATCTTCTTTGGCAAGCATGTCCAAAGTATCAATCTAGCATCAATCTAGTGCTCATGCTGCACCAGTGTGGAGTAGTGGTTAGAGTGTCAGACTAGAACCTGGGAGACAAAGGGTTCAAATCCCCACTGCCTCTCAGCCTAACCAACCACACAGGGTTGTTGTGGAGATTAAATGAGGACGGAGAAAACCATGTATGCCACATTGAGCTCCTTGGAAGAAAAAGGAGCTCCTTGGAAGAAAAATGCAATGAATATATAAGCATAATGTAACGCATATGGGGCTCTTATTTTTATATTGGGTTTAATCCAAGCTAAGAACGTCAAACGTGGGTCCCATTGAAATCAATGGGGCATGTTGCTCATGTCTTGTTTTAGTTCCCATTGGAATCAGTGGAACGTCAAGCTCCGCTAACATAGGCCCCATCTGCACTAAACATTTAAAGCAGTGTTATATCACTTTAAAGAGACATGGCCTCCCCCAATGAATCCTGGGAGCTGCGGTTTGTTAAGGAGGCTATAGTGACCCCATTCCCCTCACATAGCTACAATTCCTACAGATCTCTGGGGAGAGAGATTGACTTTTAACCACTCAGAACCGTTGTCCTGTCCTACCAAAACCTGTCTCTGGCCCTGCACACACCTGGTTCTGAGGCTTGCTGAACCCTCCCAAAAATGTCTTTTAACGTGTGGATGAGGAGACATCAGGCTTGAGGGATCTACTTTTTTTGTTTACTAGTACCCTGAGAACCTCAAACGGGAACCTAGTGCCAAAGGCACGAGGAAGCAGTTTCATTAGCACAAAGACTTTTGGGTGACACAACAGAATTGCCCCTCCGTCTCCCCTCCCTGAGTGCTTCCCGCCATTTTTGTCCTGGGTTTACCCCCTCCCAACCCTCTGGAACAGATCTGGGGAGGGCACAGGGGTGCATGGAGAGGGAAGAGGCACAGATGGAGAACCTTGAGACAATGGAACTACTTTTTTGGATACCCCCTACAGACTAAGAATTAAAGATTTCTGAGATCAGGGAACACCAATATTTGGAACACCAACGCAGTTCACAGCCCTTCCAACCAAAAAGCTACTCCTAGTTACCGTAAGCTTTCTTCACTCCAGTAAAATAATTTAAGGTGCTGTTGGGGCATTTTGTTGTTGCTCGTGTTAAGTGAAGCGAGAAATCCTTGCCAGGAAGTCACTCAGAGACCTATCAGTAGATCCGGATCAACCCATCACTTTTTTAAAAACACACGCACACTCTTCTCAAAGTCATGCCAATCACAGCAGGTAGAGTGGAAATGGATTAGACAATTCCACGGAGGATAAATCTTACAACTATAATAGTTAAATGGAACTTCCATGGACAAGGACAGTGTACCTCTGCGTATTAGAAGCTCTTGAGTATCCAGAGGTTACTGGCTAGTCACTGTTGGAAACAGAATTCTGGATTAGATGGATTTTGGACTAGTGGCAGATAAAATGATGGATGGGAATAAGAGCTGGCTTATTCTTACTCCCCATCCATCATTTTAACCTGGGTAAGGGCTGTAGCAAAGTGGTAGAACACTTGTTTGGGGAACAGAACATCCCAGGTTTGATTCCCTGACATATATGTACAGTGGTACCTTGGGTTACAGGCGCTTCAGGTTACAGACTCTGCTAACCCAGAAACAGTACCTCAGGTTAAGAACTTTGCTTCAGGATAAGAACAGAAATTGTGCTCCGGCGGCGCGGCGGCAGCGGGAGGCCCCATTAGCTAAAGTGGTGCTTCAGGTTAAGAACAGCTTCAGGTTAAGAACGGACCTCCGGAACGAATTAAGTTCTTAACCCGAGGTACCACTGTATCTAAAAGCATCCTCTGAAGAGCTCTTCTAGATCCCCTCAGAGGTCTACCTATTGCTGCATCCTCCCCACAACGGCCAACCAGATTCCACAGTCAACTGAACAGCCAAAGTTGTGGTCTCGGGTGCAATCCTTGGCACCATCACCAGGTGGCGCTGAAAAAGACCTTTGTGTACAATCCTGGAGAAGAGCTACCAGGCATCCTCTACAACACGGAGCTATTTAGATCAATGGTCTGACTCCATATAAGGCAGCTTCCCCTGTTCCCATGCCCATGGGAAACCCCAAACAGGACAGGAGCACCACAGGAACCCACTCCCACATTCAGTCAGGCCATCAGTCCATCTAGCTCAATATTGCCTCCACTGACTGGCAGCACCTCTCCCAGATTTCAGACAGGGACCTCTTGCCAGACCTACCTGGAGATGCCAGGGGAATGAACTTGGGCCCCCTGGCACGCAAAGCAGATGAGCGAGCCACGGCCCTGGCCCCTCCATCTGGTTAGAACGAGCCCGGATTGATTGCTGCTGCCGGTCAGAACCGACAACACTAGGCTCGCCCAATCGATGGCGTGTCCGGCGTTGGTGGTACAAAGGCAGCTGTGCTGCTTGCGAAGCGCAGGTAGCTGGCCGCTTGCAGAGCGCGGTCCCGAGCAGCCCCTTAGGCCCCGCCACTCCAGCCAGCGCGAACTGGCAGCGTCGGACCGGGACTGGGAAGAGGCTTTCGCTTCCCATCCGAGCTGCTTCGCGGGGCAGGGGGAGGCGGAGAGAGAGGAGGAGGAGAAAAAGAAAAAGAACCGGGGGGGGGAACAACAACACCACCACACCTAACCACAACCTGGAGGAAAGTGCCAAGAGCCCTCGCTAGGTGGGCATGAAAAATCACTGCAGAAGCGGCGGCACCAGGCAGGATTCAATTCGAAGGCGAGCCGGGGAGCCTCTAGCCGGCTTCGCTGCGCCCAGGCTCTTCCCACACTCCGGCGCCCCCTCCCTCCTTTCGCATGCCGCTGCTGCTGCTGCTGCTGCTATCCCGCCGTGCCCTCCCCTCCCCTCCCCATCCCGGGAGTCCTTATCCCCCCCCCTCCCCGTTCATTCTCCTCCCCTCCTCCCTCCTCCCGCCGCCGCCGCCGCTTCCAGGCTCTGCAGGGTTGATGGACAGCTGAGGATCCGCTACTCCGGCGGCGCGCTGGGCAAAAAAACAAACCAACCCCGAGAGACAGAGAGCCAAAGAATCTGGACTACTTGCAGCGGCAAAGGAGGGAAGCTTCGCGCGCCTCGGGAGCACTTCGACCCGCTTTTGGGGCGGCGCGGGGGAGAGATTCGCAGCTTCAAGCGGGAGGGGCGGGGGGAAGGGAGGAGTTGACTCCCCCGCCCTCAATTAGCAACCCTCCCTGGGACTTTTTTTTTTTTTTTTTTTTGGCGTGGTGGTCCTTCTGGTCCTCTTTGAGGAAAGAGGAGCCGGGACTTGGAAGGCAACGACCAACCCCCCCCACCCCCAATTTGGGAGCAAAGGGCCCGCTCTGCAGAAGGAAGCAGTCGATACGTTTTGTGCTCCTTTACCACAACAAGCCTCGCTCCGCTTCTCTCCTCCTTGTGATCCTGCTTCGATCGTCCCCTCCTTCCCCGATCACCCCCTCTCCGCCCCGCCCCGCCCTCCGTGCCTCTGCGCCCCCCCCCCCGCCGCTGCTCTTTCGATCCCGGGATACGTGGGAGGCTCCGCTTCGCGCTGCCACGCGTTGGGTCGCAGGGGATCCCTCATCCCTCCTCCGGAAAGGAGTTTCCCCGCACCGGTTCCTCCGGCGAGCGGGCTCCCTGGGCGCTAGGAGGGAACTTCAGGCGCCTCGGCCGCGTTGGAGCAAGCCGCTTTCCTCGCAAACTTTTTTTTCCTGGGCAAAAGCACCCCGAGCCCTGCCCGCGTCAGCGCAACTCCAGCATGTAAAAGGGAGCGCCAGCGACGGCCTCTTTCTCTGCAGACGTGGCCCCTTCCGTCCCCAAGGGTAAGAGAAAGGCGAGATCCTTGTTGTTTCTGGGTCTTTGGTGAAAACGACCCAAATTGGAGCGGGCGCTGCTTGCTGCAGCGGCGGCAGTAAACTGGGTTCCGTCTGCTCCGAATAGCGCGCGGCCGCCGTCGCGCAGAGGCTGCAGCATCAGCTGCCTCGCACTACCCTGCTTTCAGGCAGAGGGAGGGGGCGTCCCTCGCCCCCTATACCGGGGTGGGGAAACTCTGGGATCCTATTAATGTTTGGTGGGTGTGCTTGAATCATGGCGGTGGGGGATTGCTAATAGGAAGTTTCGTTTTGCAGCAAGGCTGGTGGTGGTGTTAGACTTCCCCACAGAAATAAGAGCCCACTCCCAACTGTTTTAGGTTTAGCCCACATCCCAGCTCAGAAGCTGCGTGCAAAAGCTGCCCCCTCCCCGCTTTCTCATCACAACCACCCTGTGAAGTGGAATAAGGGGTGCTCTGATTGATTTCTGCTTGTGGGTGCTCTTCCGGTCCTCTTTTTTTATTTCTCTCCGGGGCTTTTCTGGGGAGAGAGAGAGAGACATAGCTGTCAACCTTCCCTTTTTCTGCGGGAAATTCCCTTATTCCAGTGCCGTTTCCCCGCTGCTTCCTGCTGCTATCCCGGATTGTTAGATATCCCGTAGACTGTCCCTGGGACAGGTGAGGCTGCTGATCCCTTGTTTTCAAATCTGAAAGTTGACAGCTATGGAGAGAGAGGCTCTCCTAACCAAATCCAATCTGAGTTTTGCCATTGCTGGGGAGAGAACGGGAGTCAGCTGTTGGCACTGGGAATGGGATGTGATGAGGCACCACAGCTGCCCAAACTCTCTCTCTCTCTTCTTCTTCTTCTCTGCAAGGTAACACAGGTTGCTGCGAGGAGGAGACATCCCCGCTTCCCCGCAGGAGTGATGCTCATCAGAGAAGTTTTGCTGCTCCTTCAGTGCTGCTGGTCTTCCCTGCTACTGCACTGGACCCTCCACCCCATCTGGGGCTTCATTCAGGTAATGTCAGGAACTCCCTCCTTTCTTGCCCAGGTAGCCCACACCTGTGCTCTTCAAAGAGCACAAACTTCTGCAGCAAAGTACTTCTGAACTGTCCTTATTGCACGACGTTTGTGGGCAGCGGAGGGGTGAAGTACAAAAAGGAAGTGCTTTATTGCTAGGGTTACTGCTGTAGCAAAGTACTGTGCTTCTCTTTGAGATGTGAATACCTGGCCCAGGTGTTTCAAAGTAAAGCTGGTATGATTGTAGTTTGATTTGAGCTTTTTGCCGTACACAGGACTAAGGCAGGGAGGCAGCAGCAGCAAAGAGCTGTCGTGTGTCAGAAGCAGCTACTACATGATTTTAGCAATAACAGAACGGTTTGTGTTGTGAACACACCCTGAGCAATTCTTAAGCTTTGCAAAGAATTGATACAGGGTATGCTTTTTTGCATTTCGTTGACCCTTGAACCTGCTGTTCACTCCTCTCTGTACCCACGTACAGGATACAAACATGCAGACATATGTACAGGATTCTGTACCTGATCAGGATAGCAAGTCATGCATTTGATGAAGTGGGCTACTTCCATGGAAGCTTATCCCATAATAAACCCATTAGATCTTTAAGGTGCCGTAAGCTCTGTTGCTGTTTTTTTTCTGCTACAGGCTAATATAGCTACCTCTTTGGAAGTCCTGTGTGTGACAGTGGTGAAAAAGAGAGGGAGAGCGCATTTCTGTGTATGATCAATGTTTCTCTGTTCAGTGTGTTTGGTGTTTCTCTGAGCACAGGAAATAAAGGACCCAAGGTGCTTGCTGATTAGTGGATGTGGTTCGAGGTTATGAATGACCACAATCTTTGGTTCCCGGTTTTCATGCATACTAGTTCTGATGTACGGGAAGTGAGCGCTGCTCCTCATATAGCCAAATGGCACCACCCGTGTGCCACCTGTTATCAGCTGGCTTGACAGAAGGTCAACATTTGCAGCAGTTTTAAAAAATAAAAACTTCAGGAAAAGAATTAAGAGCGGTATCCTGCCCCCCCCCACCCCACCCCCAAAGCCCAGTGAAGACATGAAATCCCAACTGACTGTTGGGGAAAGGGGGAAGAAATAGAAAACTGAGGGGAAGCATGGCATGGATGGGAGGGGCTGGAATTTGGACTAGGGGAGGATTCCATACTGCAGCATTTTGTTGCTGGCTCCTCTTGTTCATTCCATTTATTTTCCAATGTGTCTTAAATCTATATGTGGAAGTATCTCTCTCTGGTTGCTGCGTACCTCATTTGTCCGGTAAAGTAGATGGTTGGGTCCCAATTTCTACGGCGTAAATAAGCAAGCCAGCCTCTGAGGCTCAAGCAGCAGACCTGTTCTTTCCTTGCAGGTTTGCTCCATTCACTTGCAAAATGGAATAGGGGGAGAGAGATTGATGGTCAGACTGAAAGGGTCAAAGGGATTATCTGGAGGGTAGGGTGCTGAATCTTCTCCTCCTCACCCCTAATTTCCCCCTGGTTTGGTCCCACAATCTTACTAAGATTATCAGGCTCTGATGTTGGAAGTGAAACTGCCCAGAAGACGGGATTGGGGAATAGTCTGCAAGAGGAAACATAGGCTGGAGGACAGTTTTGGTCTCTTACCCCTTCCCCCTTTAAATTGCACCCCCACCTGCCACTTTACATTTGGGTGAAAAGACCTTAGTTTCAATATACCTGCCTGCTGCGGTCACAGACAATTTGGGCCTGAGATCCTACGTGTTTTCATGTTGCTTTTTCTACTGCAGTCCAGCATAGCAACTCTTCAGGCTCCTAAACTTAACACGATTTTAAATATATCTTCAGTAGGGTTACAACTGCCTCGTAAAACACTTCTTTAAACACCTGGAAGATGTAAAAAGTGTTTTGGAAATATCGTTTAGGCTGAGGGCGCTGGATGTTTTCAGTTTAGGGAAGAGATGATTGGCAGCATGTTTACTTCCGAGTAAGTGCCATGAATTTCAGTGACACTTTCAACTAAGTATGCTTAGACTTGCTGCCTACCAGGTTGTGAGGCTGGGGAAGGGAATTTCCTTGTACTGTACCTTCAAATTTTTGTTACACTGCAGCCCTGTGCACACCTGCCTGGCCCAGCTGAATTGAATGGGACTTCATTTGAAGTAAACATTCATAGGGTCACACAATACAAGGCTGTTGCTAGACTTCAGCTATTTGCAGAGCAGTGCAATGTTATGTTCAAACAAGGTAACACAAATCAGATCTTGGGTGGCTGTCCAGAAATGTTTCCTAATACTTGTGTTGTGAAGAAAGACTGCCAGGAAAGTGATGGAGTTGCAGTGGCAATGTTTTCTCGAGAGTGGTTTAATTCTGGAAAATCTTAAGTGTTACAAACTATCAGATTAGGTGATCCATGAACTGCTTTGTGCAGTTCAGACAGGTCTAAGAAGATTATTTTGATCAAACAGAGGGTGCAGTTTAGAGATTCAAACCACTGCATCAAAAGTCAGAATCTGACTCTGCACTCTCACTGCTCACTGTGCTTCACTGAAAATGAATTTGGTGTTTAACTTGGATAAAGGAGCTTGTGTGATTTAGGGGTGGGGTGTCAGCTGAAGGCTGTCTGCGCCTTGTAAAAGTTTTTCGTCCCTCCAATACTTTGGATGTGGTGAAGGGAGAAGAGCCATAGCTCAGACGTAGAGCTTTGCTTGCAGAATGTTCCAGGTTCCATCTCCAGATTGAATCTATTTCCCTGAGCTGCTGCTGGTCCGTGTAGACAATACTGAGCTAGATGGCCCAGTGGTCTGACCCAGTACAGTGGTACCTCGGGTTAAGAACTTAATTTGTTCTGGGGGTCCGTTCTTAACCTGAAACTGTTCTTAACCTGAAGCACCACTTTAGCTAATGGGGCCTCCCGCTGCTGCCCCGCCGGCGCTGCACAATTTCTGTTCTCATCCTGAAGCAAAGTTCTTAACCTGAGGTACTATTTCTGGGTTAGCGGAGTCTGAAACCTGAAGCACCTGTAACCTGAAGCGTATGTAACCCAAGGTAGCACTGTATAAGGCAGCTTGTTATGATAGTCTCATATCTGCAACCAAAACAACAACAAATAGTTGAATTGCACACTTTTGGTGAATGCTGAAGATGCACGTCTCTATCATGGCCTGTACGCTTGAGATGTATATTTAAGGATCCTCCTTATCTCTGTAGTTTTAAGTTGTTTAAAACTGTTTTCAACATTGTGTTTCAACTGAGACCTTGAGGTGAAGGATGGGTAATTAATAGTAATAGTAATGGTGCTCTTCCCAAACATTGTATTTATTTTTTTACTCAAGTATACATCTGTTCCTAGCACAGTGCCAACATTTTAGGCCTCAGAGACATAAAAAAAGCAGGCCTGCCATGTTTGGGAGAAAGCATAATCAGACACATGAATTCCTACATCAACAGTGGTATAGGATGTGTACTTATGAGTGTTTCGTGTTTATGAGCATTTGGTGCCTGTATGTGTGTTTTTCATAATCCCTTCATGCACTTCACATTTCCACATAGAAAAGTATTTATTATTCACCTCCCCCGCCCCACTCCCCCAAAATTTACAACCTTTGCCATTGTCTTCCATGTCGGGTCTCCTAAATAGAATTTGAACCACAGCAACCATAGCTGCCCTACTGAGAACAGTCCATTTTTTGTTTGTGTGCTAAAGGGCTTCATCCTTCCCCAATGCATTTAAGCGATCAACGCCATTGAATTTGGTGCCCGTAGAATTCAGCTTGATAATTCAGAGCAGGATCTGAGTCTTCCTGAATGTGCTGACAGGGAAGAGGGTTTTCAAAGTCTAGTGACTGTAGGTGGCAATGTGTGCAAAACTAGGCCTCTCCAAATAGCCTAATTTCATTAGCAGTTTGGCAAGGCGTCTGTGATGTGGCTGTGAACTCGGAATCCACTGAGTGCAGGCTGAATCAGCTTTCGTGGTTCTCTGGTCCTCTGGTTTGCCATCTAGGTTGACCTTTGTGGATATGTGTGGTGACCAGCAATCAAGATGCATAGACCCAGAGGACAGGGTTCAATTTATACAGATCATAGAATCATAGAATCATAGAGTTGGAAGAGACCACAAGGGCCATCGAGTCCAACCCCCTGCCAAGCAGGAAACACCATCAGAGCACTCCTGACATATGGTTGTCAAGCCTCTGCTTAAAGACCTCCAAAGAAGGAGACTCCACCACACTCCTTGGCAGCAAATTCCACTGTCGAACAGCTCTTACTGTCAGGAAGTTCTTCCTAATGTTTAGGTGGAATCTTCTTTCTTGTAGTTTGGATCCATTGCTCCGTGTCCGCTTCTCTGGAGCAGCAGAAAACAACCTTTCTCCCTCCTCTATGTGACATCCTTTTATATATTTGAACATGGCTATCATATCACCCCTTAACCTCCTCTTCTCCAGGCTAAACATGCCCAGCTCCCTTAGCCGTTCCTCATAAGGCATCGTTTCCAGGCCTTTGACCATTTTGGTTGCCCTCCTCTGGACACGTTCCAGTTTGTCAGTGTCCTTCTTGAACTGTGGTGAGTTATTTCAACCTTGCAGTGATATATGCAACTGTGATATATGCAACCTAAGTAAGCAGGATTGTGAACATTGAAGCCAAGGGACATAGGAAGCTGTCTTATACTGAATTGGATGATTGGTGCACCTAGCTAGTATTGTCTACACTGAGTGGCAGAGGCTGCAGGGTTTCGGGAGGCTTTCCCAGCCCAGGAGATGTCGGGCATTGAATCTGAGACTTTCTACATGCACAGCAGATTCTCTAGCAGCAAATTATGTGGTCCCCCCCCCCTTTGACATGCTACCTTTTGTGAGTTAATGCCTTGCTTGTAACTTAGATCTTGAGGGAGTAACCGATAACCTCAGTACTGTAAGTACAAAGAAAATGCTGTCCTTTCCCTCTGTTCTAAACTTGGCAGATTCCGCATTTTGCTGTGGATGTTGCTTGACTTAACTTTTTGCCCCTCGTCTTAAGATCTGTCAGCCGTCCAA